TTGTTTTTAATGGCTGGGAACTTACTATAAGTATTTCCAAAATCCAATACTTTCCCTCTAAAATGATAAAATAGCATATGTGTTTACCCAGAACATTAGAAATGTAATCCAGGTTATGGATTGGATTGAGCTTTTGATTGACCTTTTATTTCTAATTGAACACTCTACAGTGCATTTAAAGTTCTTTGAAGTATCTTAACATATTTCTCTCTGCCAGATGTACTGCAAGATTTGCTTTTAAATACAGAGCCTTTTTCATGCTTCTTGCCTTAGACTGCAATGTTACAGCAAGTCAGAATCTTCTACAACATGTAGAGAAATTGTGACTTATTCCAAAATAAATAATTACACAGAAATGTAAAAACATTGAAAAATAATGGTGTGTAATATATAGCACACATTTACTTGTCTAATGTGAAACTTAAAGATATTCAAAATATATCTACCTTCAAATAAAATTAATTTTAGAGACATTTCATTTTCCTCCCTTCCCATTATAAACATAGTTTAGGAGAATGTCAGGACTCTTTTAGAGTGTATCTGAGAACTTTACATTTCTTATGATATTGACTTCAAAAAGCAATTTTTGAAAATTACATAGCAGCAGTGATTTGATGGAAACACACACTCTTGATTTTTCCCTGTTCATCTATTTATATTTTTGTTCAAATGTCTGCAGATCCCTATCTTATTTTAGTTATTCATTTCTCTACCTACACTTAGTCTTCAATTATTATGAAATCAGTGAGATTGAAGTGAGCTGTGCCCATAGATTATACTGAGGGACTTTAACACAATTTCTGATACTAACTGGGAAAGTGCCTCTTGCATCCCATATAGAATAATTTATTCTCTCTCTCTCTCTCTCTCTCTCTCTCTCTCTCTCTCTCTCTCTCTCTCTCTCCTTCTTTCCTTTTATTACTCTTTTTCTTTCTATTCTCCCTCCCTCCCACCCCCTCCCTTCCTCTCTGCTTCCTTCCTTATTTCTTTCCTTCTTTCCTTCCTTTGAAGTACCATAATTCACATTACTGTTAATGATAGGGAAGATTTCTTGCACATAATATATATGTCAGCATCAGCTTCCATACCCAGCCAGCCTCTGCCCTTGATAAATTGAGTGCCGTAAACCATTTTTTGTTGTTGTTGTTTGGGGCATATTTTTGTTTTGTTTTGTATGGGACTATACCTGGCAATGCTCAAGGGTTACTCCTGACTCTGCACTCAGGGATTACTACTGGTGATGCTCCAAAGACCATATGGGATGCCTAGGATCAACCCTGGGTCAGCTGCTTTCAGGGTAACTGCCCTGCAGTTGTGCTATTTCACCGGCTCCTACAAACCAGTTATCAGGTGTGGAACCATTTCCTGGGCACACATACAGGTGCTGTCCTAAGTTCAGGTGGGCTGTGTAAATAGAGTAAGATCCAGTTTCCTCTAGCTAACTGGCCCCTACTTAACTCATATGTCTAGTTAAAACATCAAAGCAGATACATTTTTAAGAGTTTATGAACCAGAGATTTAATTAACTTTCTTTTTTCATTAGAGACTGATTTCATCTGCTTAGAAATAGAAAATTTTCCAAATATAAAATGCCCATGAAATGATCAAACTATCAGTTATAATCTTAAGCAATATGAAAGCTACCTTATAAAGAAATACCTATAAGGTAGCATTTTCAAACGTTACAGTAGGACTCCCATTAGAGTGAGGGAAAAAAAAACAATCAGAATGTAATAATATTAAAAATGACTGGAAGTTTATTATGTAAGTTACTTTGCTTTTCCAGGACCTGACCCTATAACGAGGAGTTGGTGCTTAATAAAAGATACTAGTGTATTGGGCTGGAGCAATAGCACAGCGGGTAGGGCGTTTGCCTTGCACATCGCCAGCCGGGCTGACCCAAGTTAGATTCCTCTGCCTTCAATTCCTCAACCCCTCTCACAGAGCCCCACAAGATACCGAGAATATCTCTTCCACACAGCAAAACCTGGCAAGCTACCTGATATGCCAAACATAGTAACAAATCTCACAATGTTACTGGACGCGCTCAAGCAAATTGATGAACGGGAGGACAGTGACAGTGACCAGTGTATTATTTGCCTGTATATGCTCACTGTACCTTTAGGAAGATCAAGATCAACCTCTGTTGCTTAGTTGATAGAATATATATCAAGGACAGTTTTTACTCTAGATCTTCCACAGTAAAATTTGAGTCATTTAGACAGCAGGTATGTTTCCTTTCTCTCTGTGTGTCCTAATACACATTTCTAAAACTGATGTATTGATTAGTTTACTTGTCAAAGTCAGCCTTGAACTAGTGGTACCACCAGGCAGAACCCTGCCTAGTTCATAGTTGAACCCCGACATCCTCTCAAGCTATTTCCACATGCCCATCCCCACAGACACAGTGATGCTGAGCTACTGAGTAACTTACTCAAAGCCCAGTCCCTAAAGCTCAGGTTTGGATTCTGAATCTTCTCGTTTTCTTTTTCTAGTCTGAAGGGCATACTGCTCGAGATCCCAAGTTTATTTTCAGTGATTTCTTCCCAGAAGCAGGTCGTTTGCGAACAGTTTCAAGGGTGTGAAAGCTTGTTGGTGTATCGTCATCACTCCTTACAATAATCCCTTGATACACAATGATCCCAACAGTACAGGTGTCTGTGTAGAGGTCGTGGCAAACAACACTTGCCATTTACCTTTCAGAGTTGCTGTCTTGCAGACGTGTGGGTTTTGGCCGCCACGTGCCTAACGTGATAGGGATCCAGTACGAAGAATTGCAAGCATGGGGATGAAAGTTCTTTAACAAGGTCTTTTGATGCCTTAAGAGGTTTTTCACTATTTCTGTTGCAGGTGGGTTGAAGGAAGATGTAACTGCTTTTTCTCTCTTCCTTTTATTCACTCATGCCTCTGAATTCAACGCTTCTCACTGGAGAAAATCTTATTAGCTTTGGAGCTGGCCATGTACCGTCTACTCGGCAGAGTAGGGCGAATCGAGATTCTGTAGCAGATAGAGTAATGACTCTTGCCTTCCCAATTAGTATTATCTGTGATTCCTGTTGATGGAAGTCCCTCCAGCCGCATGCCCTCTGCTGAGGTGTTTTTTCCAGCCTCAGAGCTGGGCTTCTCCCTCCAGCTCCGCTTCCAGCACACTGCAGCAAGCTGTTTCTAGGCAGTCGTGTCAGATCTGAAAAAAAGATTATGTTCCTACTTGAAAAACACAGTGATTAAGCTTGACGTAGAGGAATCAGGGCTTTAGCAGAGCCTGGAGTTGGGCCATTGAACCATGGCATTTGCAGGTCGGGTCCTCCTTAACATGAAATGCCTTTGAAAATAGATGAAGCCACAAAATTAGTTCTCTTCATTTTTACCTTATAAGAGATAGACCAATTCCATGTTTCAGGAAGTGTCTATATTTAAAGCAAATTAGGATAAATATTGTCAGTGGGTTTAAATACGGACGTTAGAAATACACACATGGAGAAACCCTCCTTCAGAAGAATTTCTCAGATGGTTTCTGACATCGGGGACAGCTAAATAGGTGCACTAGTGAGATTAAAATTAATGGTTCTCATTTTGAGTGACCAGGCATACAGGGGGAAAAATTAAGATGCTCTTAAATTCCTTGATGCCTTCATATCATGCCAAAATGTGTATTCTATCGGTTAGATGAAAGCAGTAATTTGAGACAAATTATATGCCTTCCCACAATTACCCAGAAACCTGAGTTTTCAAAGTGCAGCTTGGTTGTACCTTCCATATTACATTTGCCTGAGGATCTGAGGTTCAAGGATCCTGCTTGAAAGACAGGGAACTTGCTGCCTGCCTCTTTACTTTTTATTATTTTTGTGTGTTGGGAGGGAAGGGCCACACTGAGAAGTTCTCCGTGCTTGGGGTCTCTCACACTTGATGCTCGGGGAACTGTATAGTGCCAGGAACTGAACTCCCAAGTTTTCCTTTTACTCAGATAAATGGGTTTCACTGAATAATTTTGGAGTTCTCCACTTTTCAGAGTTACATATATATTGGTGTATTAGCTCAGTTTACCTTAAATGATAATACTATTTTAAAGTTGCATAATATCAGTATGGCCTAAATTTTCCACCGTGGACCTTTTTATTTGATAGAGTTTGGTACAGGATGTTGCCCCACAGGGGAACTGTGCAGATTAAAGAAATAAAGCATATGTGCTTTATTTTAAGTTATTTGTACGTAGAATGTATTCAATAAATGCTACTTATAATTGTGATTATAATATTTGCTGCTATTGCTTCAAAAGACACTCTCTTCTGTTTTCGAAAACCCCAGGTTAGTGCTGATGATAAGCATTGTTCAGATTTTCTTCTCTTCACACTCAGCAGAACTCATTTTGAAGAATTTTTTTCGTGCCTCTTGTTCAAATCTTTCCGGCTTTCTACCATCCCAACTATAAATGTTGTAGAGCCAAGTTGATTATTAGTCAAATGGAGCCTGGGGAAAATATTTGAGATGTGTTTTAATTATAATTTGAAGGACTTCCTGCACTACACTGGTTTACAAAAATGCCTACAAGTTAAAAATGAAGTAAATTTGAACTAAATCTCCAGCCTTTGGAGCTTAATGTTCAGCAATTTGATAGTCTGTGAAGGAGAAAGAAGCTTGTCAGATGATCAAGACTTTTCAGAAAGGAATCTGGTACACCATGATTTTTTTAAGTTGGAATATGTAATCTGGACCTTGTTTCACTTGTTCTTGTAAATTGAAAGGAACTTCAAAGGCACACAACATTTTGAAGTGCTTTTGCCCTAACTGTGGAATGGCATACCTAAAGAAATGGTCTTTTGTTATAAGGGACTTAGCATTTCTTTTTCAAAGGAAGCCATCATTTTTCTAAATAAACTCTCCTGGTTTGATGCTCTTTTCTCTACTTGAAACACATTTTCTCCTGCCTGGCCAGGCAGGGTATTTGCAGCAGAGTGATCCTGATTTCTCTTTGTTCTTCTTGTCTGATGTGCCTTTGATAGCGGATGGTTTCTCGCTCTCTGGGAGCAAATCCAGACGACCTGAAGGATCCAATTAAAATTAGTATTCCACGCTACGTCCTCTGCGGGCAAGGGAAAGATGAGCACTTCGAGTTTGAGGTCAAGGTAAGTGTTCTTTCTTTATTCCTCTGGAGGAATGGAGATTTAAGATTATGCAGGCTGCCTCTGCCCCCGCCCCATTTTTTATAATCAGATACAACATGTGAATAGCCTGTTCTATAAAATACAGTCATTTCCCTTATTTAAATCAGTATGTATGTGAAAGGTTGTCTTCCATGGAATGATAACTGGAGAATCAGATGTGAAAGTTCCTGTCACATGTCAGCCCCCATGGAGAGTGACCAGCCATCCCAGATTGCCCAGGTTCTTTCCGTGTTCAGCATTGACAGTTCCATGCACTGGAAAACCCTGTCAAACCAGGAAAACCAAGATACTTGATCACCCTGCCCAGAGGCCTAGGTTTAGTATTCACATCTCTAATGTAAGGCATGATATTATTTACATCACATAAAATATTTTTATCTGTGCATACAAAGGATGTCTGGTATGTAAAAGACAATGTACTATAGCTGCTGTCATTGTTACTCTTGCTATTTTCATGCTTGTTTCTATTTTCAGGAAGTTTTCCTATTTTTTTTTAAGTATTTGATTTATGCAAACTTTTAGGAAGAGAGATGCTTATTTCCTTACATCATACTTTCCGAAAAAAATGACTTCATCTTATTTGTAATTTATTTACATTGACTCATAATGCCTCATTAAATATCACTGGATGCCATCCCATCCTCTTTTGAAGGAATTAATAATAAATTATACTTGTTCATTTTCAAGGGTTGACAAAGGTGTTGATTCAATGATGTCCACAAGGGGTCACCAGTATTTGGCTTCAGAAAGGTGTTCTTTTCCGTGTTCTTGGTCAGACAAATGTGAGATTAGAATCGTGATGCCAAATTCTTTAGATTCTGATTCTACTACAGTTTTTTTTTGGGAGGGGGACTGGGGGGTGAGCCAGTCTTTTAACTTTTCTGATCCTCTTCTTCTTCACTGGTCAGTGAGGGGAATTGGACAAAATCAGTGGCTTCCAAAGTTGGTCTTAGCTGAGGCCTTTATTCAGAGAACAGTGGAACTAAGAACAGTATAGGAAGCTCTCAGCCAGCGGGGAGCTGCTGTCCCCTGGAGTGGGTGGAAGGAGCCTGAGACCAGCCCTGCCTGCCTCCTGCAGAATCCGGGAGACCTCAGGGGATATGCTCTCCCCAGAAATTCCTCCTGTTAGGTATGCATATTCTTCCAATCTTCCTGAAGAAGCAATTTACTTTTCTGTTTTACCAGGCTTCCTCAATTCTTATTTCTGCATGCAAATTTTCCCTTTTGAAAAATGTGTGGACATTAATTTATGTATGTTGTTTCAGTTGAGACATAGTATATGTGGTGGTGAATTTTGCTGCCAATTTCTGGTTTTTTTTTTTTAAATTGCAATGTTATGTCATGCCTTTGATCCAATATTTTACTTCATTCTAACCTAATTTGATGCCTACTTCCAGCTTTTTTAAGGTTCTACATGTGTTATATCATGTAGCATTTGTCTCTTTTCAGTGTGAGTCCCCTTTTTATTATGCCCCGAAGATCCATCCATGTTGTGATTTCCTTCCTTCTTTCTGTTTCCAATGAAAGAAAAGAAGGAAAATGGTGGGCCCAAACAGGCAGGGCATGCAGGACTTAGAGAGTTCAGTGGCCAAGAGCCACCTCTCCAGGATCAACCATGGGCTAGTGACGGGCACTGGACAGAGAAACAGGAATCAGACCCCAGGCTGGTCCTTTGTCAGTTTATTTCTCTCTTCTCCCTGGCGTTGTCCGAGCTCTCCCTTCATGGCGTAATCATAGTCATCATTTTGGTCGCATTCCGGGTCATAAGAGTTCCATCATCCTAGCCTTCTCACAGACCTCAAAGTCTCCAAAGTCTCAGTTCTCCTCCTCTCGTCATCAACACCTCTTCATCGACCTTCTTGTCCTCAACATCTAGTCCTCAGGGTCTAGTCTTCAGCATCTAGTCTTCAGCATTGTAAGGTAGTGATGCAAAGGTGGAGTTGAACATTATCACAACAACAAAAAGAAGTAGCCACTGCTCCTTCAGGAGATTAACTCAAGGATAAATCTCATCTAAAGAGATTACTCAAGATAACTAGGAGATCTGCCAAAGGGCAGGATTCCATCCAGGGTGTATTGCTTTTTCCTTTCCTTAGCTAGTAATCCATTTAAACAGTTTTAGTAAATTTACTTCTTACAATATTTCTAACAATGTCGTTTTGTTTGAGCACAGTAAGAGATAAATTAAGTCTGGCATTTCCTGGGTTTATCTCTCATTCGATATTCCAGACCACAGTCCTCAGGCCAGGTTAGTCTTTCCTAACCCCAGCAGGGTCCTCATTCAGTTATTTCTTTTGAGGTCATGACAGAGTTTGTCCATGACCATGCTCTTAATTTACAGTTAAGTATTATGGCACTTGGCCTGGTGCATTTCAATGCCAGAGTAGCTCACAGCTTGTCCTGGGTCTATCCAGTCCCTTGTCAAAACCCTGCTCTTGGAGTGCTAGGAACTAAGGGCAATGGAGGCTTAAGTCTAGTAAATACAGATGCTCAGGAGTAAATATTATTTTGGAGTCAATTAACTCCCATGTTACATAGCATAGCATCAACTATCTTCCTGTGTCTATATAAAAAGAACATTGCTAAATAATCCATGCAAATGACATAAAGGAAAGAGAAAAGCAATTTGGGATTATTAGTGCCTGGTGCAATTGGGTGTGCCTCAGTCGCACCGTTGTGGGAGTAGCCCAATAAACCTTAAGCTCCCTGTGGGAGCAGGAAGGACAACCCAGTGTTATCCAATGCTTTTTGTGTCTGAACAAGATTTTATTAAATATATATCATGTATTGTCATTATCCATTCATCCGTTCTATACTTAAGTTGTATCATGGCTATTGCAAATGAAAGCCCTAATAACTATGGGAATACAGAGATATCTTTGAACTCTTTTCTTTTATTTCCCTTGAACATATACACAGAGTTGCTGGGTCATACATATAACAGTTATAGTTTTAGATCTTTTATATGCTTTTGTTTGGGGGTCATAACTGGTGGTGCTCAGGGATTACTCCTGGCTCTGTGCTCAAAGACCATTCCTGGTAGGGCTCAGGGGACAATATACAGTGTCAGCAATCAGACTGAAAACTAAAGGATTAAGATGCAAGGCATACGCCTTAACTCCCGTACTATCTCTCTGGTGCTATATTTTTGTTTTCTAAGTAGCCTCCATTCTGTTTTCCATAAAACATATCCATAAATAAGAGAATAAAGACTGGAGATCATTGAATGATTTTAGTTGGCACGTAGATTTTAATAGATCAATGTAACCATTATAAAATATAACTTAAATAGTTCTCATTTATGTGACTTAAGAAATGAGCAATGAAGAATTATTTTAAAAGATGAATTTGTTTACAGATTGCATACAAATAAAGAATTTTGCTTTCTTTCAACTCACCAAAGCCACGTTCTGAGAGCATGTGATTGTTCTGCTTCTTTTTGTACTTACCCTACTGCTGTAATCTTTAGTACCGGAATACGCAGTTAACATTTGCCTAGGGAACTCCTAGTTCCTCCTTGGAAAGGTCGTCCCTTGCCTGCTCCAGTAGGTTTGCTGAGAATCTTGCTTTCTGGCAAGGATACCCATCACAGGGCTCAGTCCTACAAACAAACATGAACATAATGTCTGTCCCCTCAACAAATAGAGCAAAAATAGTGACGTAGCCAAACTTAAGAAATTTAGTTGCCACAAGTATACTGCTGGGTTATATGTATACATATCACTATCCTTTCCATCCATTTTCCTTCAGATGTTGCTTGGCAAGCCATGCAGCCTTACCGTGTGTTATTTCTAAACTGAGGTTAACGTAACCTGTCTGGGCAGGGCTGGTCGGAAGAGAGTGGTGCTGTGCTGTGATGTGCGTGTGGGAAACGTACCACATTTGTGGACCTCCTACCCTGTACTTTGCCAATAGTTTCTCATCTCCTGACATGTAGATTGTCCAAAGGGATGTTATCACTCTGCCATATTTAAATGCCCACATATCAAATGAATCGCTTGATCATATAGTTTAACAAAATTAAGTGTGATTAAATGTTTAAACATACAAGAACAATTTAGGAGAGGGAGGGACACTGTGAGGTAGGGCAAGCCAGTATGCAGGCGACCTCATCCCCAGAGTCACATCATATTCATCTCTTGTTTCCAGATCTTACAAGTGACCTTAACGGATTCTAAGGACTCAGAGCAGAACATGCTTGCTCCATAGACAAATGTCTGACCCTAGGAGTCACTGCCACTGTCCTCCCATTGTTCATCGATTTACTCGAGCAGGCCCAGTAACGTCTCCATTTTGAGACTTGTTACTGTGTTTGGCATATTGAATACACCACGGGGAGCTTGCCAGGCTCTGCCGTGCAGGCAGGATACTCTTGGTAGCTTGCTGGGCTCTCCGAGAGGGGCGTATTCTCCTGAAAGCCCAGCCTTCAACCTTCACCTCCAGCGCAGTTGTTGTTGAGGGTGATCAGTTAAGTATTGAGGTAGTTATCAGCCCTGAATAGGCATGTTTATGACTAATACTTTAAAAATAACATCATGGGGCTAGAGCGATAGCACAGCAGGTAGGGCGTTTGCCTTGCACGCAGCTGACCCGGGTTCGATTCCCAGCATCCCTTATGATCCCCTGAGCACCGCCAGGAGTAATTCTTGCGTACAGAGCCAGGAGTAACCCCTGTGAATCGCCGGGTGTGACCCAAAAAGCAAAACAATAGCATCATGTCTGTTCCAGCATATTTATTTATTCTACCTGACTATCTCGTAGCTTGGCAGGCTATGCCATGCAGGTGAGATACTCTCGGTAAACATGCCAAACACAGTAACAACAAGTCTCAAAAAATGGAGACGTTACTGGGCCTGCTTGAGCAAATTGATGAACAACAGGAGGACAGTGACAGTGACGGTGACTATCTTGTAGGTTGTCCACATGTGTCTTATTTCTGTTGTGTCATAAGATACTTGGTT